TTATATGAAATGAATTTTCAAACATTATTTAAATACCAAACGATATTTCTACAATGTTGAATGCAATTATTGCAAAAATGAATGAAAAAAAAAGAAGTTTATGATTATCATAAGAATGAATGTTTTTAAATTATGTTCAAAACTATCACTTATCAATCTTTTATCAAATTGCATTAAAAGATTTATTTATTGACAACATAGATTATTATACAAATTTCGTATAATTTTCAGAAAATACAAATAATTGTGTTATAGTTTATAATATTATTCAAATTTTACAAAACATATGATCAATGCATCATTTACGATATGAAATTGATTACATTCAATTTCTAATTTGTCATGCTTTAATATCGGTGTTTATACTGCAACGGGCATACATTCCATTTATCAGTTTTTGAATTTATACCAATCATCTGAATAATCTATTCGGATAATACAAATGAATTCTTTTCAATCATGTAATTAAATCCATTTCAATTATATGAATGAATTTTCAAAGGAATCATAGCTAATCGTTTAGAGAAAATACATTTGTTTCTCGATTATGTAAATGAATTCATTTCGGTTACATAAATGAATTGTAAATGTTAAACAGTGATCACAGTTTAATCGTATACTTCTTTTTATGTTCAAAATACCAAATATCATCAGTAAATAGTAAATTCATCGTATATTGTTCCCTGCGGAAGAAGAATTGATAAATGTATGAAATAAAATTCAAAAATGATAGCTATCAAAATTGTTCATCTAAAAAAAAAAAAAAGCTTACCTAAGAAATAGGGCAAAATTTATCGTAAAATATTTATTATTAGTTAAATACTAATCGCTTTTTTTTTTCCTTCAAAACTTCTGAGCAAACATTTCAATTTTGATTTTAAAATTTGCAATCCTTAACATTTTGATGATGTTTAAAATTTGATGGATAAAATTTTGAAACCAGTAAAAAGAACTTTTATACATTTTTGAAAAAGTAAATTAAAACTGCTACCGATTTATAGCAAAGTATTGATTACGATATTAACTTATTGTTTTTTTTTTTGCCATTTGAGAGAAATTCATTGCATCGAAAATTGCTGTCACCAATTACGTGATTTCTTATTTCGTTTGTTTCGTTTCCTGTTTCCTTGTTGACCGGAATAAATCTGACCGTCCGATTGCTGTTGCTGTTGTCTCTGCGAATGATTCTGATTCCCAGAATTACCTTGTACTTTGATATTATCAGGAATTTTACCATAATTTTGTTGTCCACTAATTTGCTGATGCTGCTTACGTGAGGTATTCCTTCCGGTAGCGGTAACATTATGCCTACATTCTCCCGGCATATCTGAATACATTCCACTAAATTGGTTCTTCCACTGATTATGCTTACTTCGTGATTCCTCATCATTTCTACGATCATTATTTACTTCCAATTCCGGTTCCGGTTGCGTTTTTTGCTGCTTGTAATCTAATCCACCTAGTACTGCCGTTTTGTTTACAGCTTGTCCTGATTCATCAATATTATCATTATGCTTCGATTTTATCTCCAATTCAGTTTTGTCTGAATCATCCGCAGCAATCATTTTACCGTTTCCAATATCAGTAATTGTTTCTGCTTCATTCTGTATTTCCGGTCGATTCGGTTTAAATGCTGTCACCACATCTTCTTTTATGTTTTCATGAGAATTAGCAGAATTCTTGATTGTATCAGCTCCGATATCATGTCCTATCATGGCATCGAGAGTTTTTTGTTCCGGAGAAATTTGCGATTTCATTTTTAGCGACATTTCCGTTGCTTCAGAAGATTTAGTTAATATTGAAGCGGAAATTTCAATTTCACGCTTTTCATTGCTATCTTCCACTATTATTTCCTCTTCAATAGTCACTTTTTCATCCTCCTCTTTTTTCATTTTTAAACAATCGGAAAGATCCGCAATGTCTTCCTTCTTATCATCATTTGATAAAATAAAGCATTCCGAAACATTAATTTTATCTTTATTTGATAAAATAATACATTTTATAGCTTCAGCTTTTGTAAATTCTGCATTCTTTCTCATTTCCCATATTGATTCCAAATTATTAGTTTCTGAATTTTCAATTATCTCATCAACTTTCAATTCATTTCCAATTTTTTTCTCCATCCTTTTTTCGAATTCTAAATCAGCGTTATCAATGATTTGATTTATTGATTCATAACTTTTCCAAATTTGTTCATACGTTGGTGTTAAAATTTCCGTCCAAACTAACGGTTCAAAATCGATAACTCCAATTTTCTTCTCCTTTCTTATCAAATCCATTTCATCAATTTCCAATTCATTTCCACATTTTTCTTTACCAATCTCCTTTGGTTTATTTTTTACATTTATTTTAGCATTGCTGTTCGATTGTGATTCTCCGCTTTGAGTTAATTTTGATGCCATCGTTGATGTAACGTTTTGTTTTGTTCCTACCGTAACATTTTCATCTTTTGTAATATTTTTTATATGTTTTAATCCATTTCTTTCAACATTCTTTTCCATCAAAGTCGCACTTTTTGTGGAAACTAAAGGTAAAACGGCAGGTGATTTTGTTATCGATTTCTTATCAATCATCACATCATTGCTTTTCCTAGCATTTCTCGATATTGGTACCGTAGTATCTCTTGATGTTGGTATTACAGTATCTTTCGGTGCTGGTACCATAGTATTTCTCGATGTTGGTATCATCTTAGCAGCTGGCAATGTTTTTTTAGTTGTTTTTCTGTTTGATTTAGTTAGCATGATATTTGAAGCATTATTACCAACATTTTTCGACTCAATTTGTTGTGTTGATTGTTTATTTTTTGTAGTCTTCGCGATGTTTTTCCTCATCTCCGTATTTACGGATCCGGGAGATGTGGGAGATCCGAGAGATTTTACCGCGATCGTTGCATTCTTCATTGCAGTATTTTCATCCTCCTTTTCATTAGCCATTTCATATTTGTGATCCAAAATATTCGATGTAAAATTAACCTTTTTGTCTTCCTCCGATGATACTATCTGATTTTTATCAATGAAAGTATTAGCTTCTTTAAAAACTTCCTTTTTCCTCTCATCCGAAATCATTTCCAATGATTCATTCAAACTTTTTATATTTTCTTCAATGTCATCATTTTTTGCCTTTTCGTGTTGTTTCTCATAATATTCCTGTTCATGAAATTGTCCATTTTCAACCAGTTTTTGTTGCACATTTTGAATTTTGCTTATATTTTTAAGTTTTCCAGTATCGTACATCGATTTCGCATTCATCAAACATTGCTCCGAGCTTTCTTCAACATTAGATGATATGATTCCCGCTTCTGACTCAATTTCTCGCAAAATCTTCTGATTCTCATTTTTCAGATTGTATCCCGATATCAATGATTCCGTGGATTCAATGAATCCTAATTCATTTCCAGTAAAATCAAAATTTTTGAAAGATTCTTTTTCGGTTGAAGTTGTTTCAAGTTTATCTTGCACTAAATGAACTTTTTCTCTGATATGAGAGGCATTATCAATCATTGTAACATCTTCCCCAATCTTTTCTACCTCAGTGATAACTTCCGGCAAAGAATATTCTAATTCCGCATGATTTCCTATTGCAAGAAATTCTTCCGAATAAACTGTTTCAGAAAATTTCTCATTAGATGAAGCTTCTTGAGATTTGTTATTACTTTCCGGTATTTCATTTGGAATTTTCACTTCTTCCAGTTTTCGGTTTCTTACCATTGGTAGATGAAATTCTTGTTCAGAATTATCAGCAACATTACTTAAGGCACCAATTACGTCAAATAATTTTCCATCAATGAATTGAAGTCCGATGAAAATTGTTTTTGTCGTAGAATTTTGCTCATTTTCAAGAGCCATATTTCCAGTCGTTTTTGGAACTAATTCTTCAATCGGATTTTGTTGCTCAATATTTCTTGTACTGACAATAGGTGTTGCTTCATGTTTCTCGAGCTGTTGATGCTCGAAATCCTGATTTTCCGAACTCTTATTCATCATATCATTATTCATTTCCGTTCCATTTCTTCTTCCCAAGCATTCGTCATCATGTGAAATCTTAAAGTTTGAATGTTTTTCGGTTTGCAATTCCGGCAGAAAATTTTTGTCTGACTCCGAAATGTTCGTAATTTCATCATTCATTGCTTGTTGATCATCCGCATTATCGATTTTCTGAGGAGCATTATCAGCAACTTCATCTTTGGTTATTTCAGCTTCAGTGTTATCAATTCTAATAAATGATTGTGTTAATTTTTGTCCCAAAATTTGATTTGCATAATTTTCATATTCAAACGGCATTTGTTGTTGAATTTCACTTTCATCAGTTGTTTTACAAATTGGCGTGTTGAACAATTGTTGAGAGTTATTTTCTTGTTGAAATGTATTCCGATTTTCTAAAATTGGATTAATATGCATACGTGTTGCTTCTGCAAGATCAGTAAACGGAAATCCTAATTGGAATTCCATAGTATTGGGTTCATTTTCTGGGATATTTTGATTTCTTAATAATGCTTCTTCACCGTGTTGTAAATCTTTATGCGTTAAACTTTGAGAATTTATTGCTTCATCAACTTGTCCACTATTATTTCCGGCTGTGAATTGTTGCAATTCCGAATTGCTAAATGATTTTTCATCACGTAGCTCAGTAATATCTTCTACTCTTTTATCAGTTATCTGCTCTGCCATTACTGAAATAAATAAATGTCGTCCAAATTTGCATAAATATGCTTGCAAAACAGAAATGACAAACTTTTATGAAAGCGATATATATATATATATATAAGCGGTGAATCAGATCACGAAAAGAATTTATCATTGATGAATCAGATCAAAAATGATACGGATCAATTATATTGATGAATCAGATACTGAACCGAATTTATTGTTATTGATTTAGATATTGATCCAAGAAATATAAAGTTTAGGCAAAAAAGGCAATTGTAAAAAAAAAATTATTGCTCTATAATGAGGTTAAAATGATAAATATAGAGAAATTAAGAAAGCAAATAAACAAAAATTATTGTTCTAATTTTGATTCTTCTAAATAATCATAATATGAGGATAAAAAAAAACCATCTAATTCTGCTCATTTAATTTATTTTAAAATCTACTCTGAAACAATATAAAATGTGAAATAATTAGTATTATTAAGTTATCATTCGTTATCGCATGACAGATAGCAATTGTTGTTCCAAAAATTTATTTAAATGATTCACAAACAAATTATTGTTTACTTAAAAATTAAATCATATCAGGAAGATGTGTATGATACGTATGGAATATAAAAATAAAAGGGAAAGTGATAAATAGCATGAATTAATTTAAATTTAAGAGAAATTATCAATAAGTAAAATGAAGCGGAAAATTATAGTGAATGATTATAGTTGGTACCATAATCTGAATACACTCGGTCCATTCTAAAGAAAAAGTAATTAACAATGAAACTTTTATTTTCGTAACAATCTGAATTAATAGAAGTGTAATTAATTATGATCAGAAGTAATAAATCATTTCAGTACTTTATTACAATCATTTCCTTTCTTATCTTAAAATCAAAATTAAATTTGCTTGAAAGAATTAAATTTTTCTTTGTAAATATCGTCCAATATTTTCCTAAATTTTACTGCTGGCGTCTTTAAAAAGAAAAAAAATTATAAAGACAAATTACTTTTAATGCAAAATTCAAAGAAACAAAACATTAATCGATGCTTTTTTTTTCTCATCAAACACTTTCTGTGAGGAAATTTGCTTCTCGAAGCAACGATATGAGCAAAAATTCGCTTCATTTTTTTGACAGTTTAAAAGTTGAAAACTTTTTTTAAATTTTGCTCAAATTATTGGTAGAAAATAACTGCTACTGATTGTTAAATATTAAATTTGAAAATTACGTCTAACAATGAAGGCATTTCTTTTTGAAATAATATATTTAAATTTTTGAATCTTTAAAAATGCTATAAAAAGCCCATTTTTGATCATATAGTAATTTATAAATTTCAAAATTAACAATAATAGCAAAAAATTCGGATTCAACAATTTTACTAAAACATTTCATAATTCATCATTATGTTAATTAGCACTCAAAAATAATTATATTTAAAATTTATATCTTCTTATTTGTCACAAAAAAAAAGCCACCCACTTGAAATTATATACTCAAAACATTTCATTATTCAAAAAAAATTACTGTCCATGAAATATATGAACGCAAATAAGGTTACTTTAAAATAAATACTGAAAGAGAGCTGAGGGAGAGAGAGAGAGAGAGAGAGAGAAAGAGAGAAAGAAAAGGAGAGAAATGAAATTCGTAAATTTGCAAATGTTGATGATGTTAAAATAAACTAAATACCATTTTATCATTTCAAACGCCCACATTTGACCTTGTCAAATTCTTTCTTTCTCCTCAACATACTCCTCCTAATCTATCGAAATTAAATAAAACATCAGAAAGAAAGGCAATGAGATGGAAGGGAAGGAGAAACAAGAAGAGAAAACACCGATGCTAAACAAATATTGAACAAAATAAATCAAATTTTTTGATAAAATTTGCTATAAATAAAATTTTCGAAATCAAGTTTAAAAAAATTAGTAATAAAATAAATAATTCGAAACTAACAAAGCGTAACAATTACAACATCCAATTGTTTATTATCCGTTCACCAAACATTATTTCCCATTCCAATAATCATTCCTCAACGATGCAAAAAAGGTTGATCAAAAATCAATAAA